ATATCTAAGTTGATAAAAAACATTTTATATAGGTAACAACATCTTATTTGCCATAAACTGATAGGACTTGTCAAAAATTGGAATAAAAAACAGGTTCAAGTTGTTTTCATCTGAACAGAATAGGGCCGATCCTTTTTATTCAGTCATTGTCTGCATCCCAGTTCTGACAGATGTAAACGTGCTGGTGTGTCTCACAGGCACCAATGGACCAATTTCATCCCCAGAAACCTCTGATGGACGTCTTGTTTGTGTCTTGCCAGTGTTTGATAATTGATATTAAAGTCATTTGCTGTACTACAGATAGGTTTGTGCAGCAGTTTCATGGCGCAGACTGCCCTGAGCATCACGTCAGGTGGTGTCTGGTCATAGCTGGTCATGCGACAACCAACCCCATCAGGAATGTTTTGCTAGCAGTTGTGCTAGCAAGCACATGTTATAGTCTAGCAAAGAAAAAAATAACATTCGAACTATAGCTCTGCCTTTTTACTTTCAAAYGCCAATAAGTGTTTAATTCTAAATCCATTGTTTAAAGGCAATTCAAAATGATCACAAAAATAATCAAAAGTTACATCAGTGGCGTCACTAGGCCTATTTTAGGGGGACTGGAGCACCCCCTAAAATATATTAAAGCCCCCCTAAATTATTTTGGTTTAAAATTTTTTTACAAAAGTTCAAAATGATGTCATCAGAATAAATAACCATTTAATATTTCATTATTAACTAAAATATATAATCATAAATCTGTCAGCTTCCCTTTAATTTATAGTGAAAGGTAGATATCCTCTTTGGTGCATCGTTATCCAGTCCATTCCACTTGTTCATATGGAGTACTCCTCCATCACATGACATCCAGTCCACGTTTTTCCTGCAACCTTAATAGCAACATGCTAGCAAGTTTAAACACCATTAGCATCACTAGACCATTTTTAGTGGATGTGTGTTCGACTACTCCACCTAGGCTGCATTTTTGATCGCAGATCCACTGAGAAACCTGCTGTTTCAGCAACATTTAATTAAAAAAACTGTACTTTTGAGGTTAAACAAATGTTCGTAATTAATTTAAATAAATTACAAGTTAAAAGGGACGCGAAGATTTCTCTTTTTTGTATCGAAAAATATCGAACCGTGAGACTAAAGTATTGAACCGAATCGTGAATTTTCTATATCGTTGCACCACTAATACACACACACACACACACAACACAAATACACAATATACAAAAATTATGTGCGTCTCCTGGGGGCTAAGCCCCCCTTGTCCCTAAAATTTCGTGACACCCCTGAGTTACATTATGATGTGAAAAACTCAATAAGTCCTCTCATCTCATTGAAAGACGTCACGYTGCTAAAATAAAAACGTTGCTAGTCTGTGACAACTATTTCGGAAACTCACGTAAAGATTTTGTAACAGCGCTTTCTAGGAGAAAACATTTAGCAACTGTGACAACCAACCCCGTTCTCCCCCTAACAAGAGATAACGACTTTAGATAACAAGAACTTGTCACTCTTATGTAATTGCTTTCTATCTTTTTTTTTTTTTTGGGGGGGGGGTGCACATTTAAGTTTCATCGTTTTCATGCGTCCACTAAATAATCTTGACAAAAAAAATTAAAATAAAAATCTGTGGCCCTCAGATGAGACATGGCTGTTAAAAGGAGATATGAGGCCTTGTTCCTTAATCCACTTGTGTTGACGAGCACATATTTTCAATCAGGATCATGTTTACTGGAGGAGTGGACTGTGCTCTCTTTTTTTTCCTGTTCTTTTATCCGCGCCTTCATTCCTTTTCTCTTGTCCTCTCATCCCTTCATCTGCAGTGCCCCCCCATCCTTCCCCACCCTGTGTGATGGACAGGGTGTCCTCACCTTGTAACGATCAGTGACATCCAATATGTTTGGCTTTGGGATCATCCCCCTGTGTGTGCATTGTGCGTCTTGTTAAATGCTTTATTGATTAGTCTTGAGTTAATTACGAATTACATCAACCGTGGCCGGGCTCTTGCAGCAGGATCCGTCCAGCAGAAGCTAATATATTTGGCCGTGCACACATTAGTCATCCTCATCCCCCCCCCACCCATTAACATCCATGCATTTGTGACATTTCAACATTTCACAGCACCTTATCAGCTCCTTAAAGGACATGCAATATTTTCTGGGTGACTCTGAAGGGTGGAAT